GCAAGACACATCAGTCTGTATGAGTTATTAAAAATTATCTGAAAGCCAATCTACAAGAGTAGGTGAATAGGTAAAAGGTTGGTAAAAATGTTAACTAGCACAAGCATTTTGTAAAAATAATTTGGTATTATCCAGTAAAGTTGAAAGTTTATATACTCTCTCTATATATATAGCCTTGATGTAAAGGGCTAAAAAAAACGTGTAAGTGAAGTTCCTACTAGGTTGAACAATTCAGTAAGAGATGATACCACTGATCAAGACTTGAGATACAGGGGCATCTGAGTGGCTCAGTCAGTTAAACGTCCCAACTCTTGCTTTCAGCTCAGGTCATGATCTCACAGTTTGTGAGACTGAGCCCTCCATCAGGCTCTGCTCTGACAGTGTGAAGCCTGCTTGGGATTCTCTCTCTCTGCCTGTCCCCCACTCACGCTCTCTGTCTCTCTCTTGCTCAAAATAAATAAATAAAATTAAAAAAAAGAAGAAAAAGAAGGCTTAATACAAAAAAAAATTTGGAGGGAATGAAATAGGAACACATATAATTAAAACAAATTTTTTTAATGTTTATTCATTTTTTGAGAGACAGAGAGAAACAGAGCGTGAGTGGGGGAAGGGCAGAGAGAGAGGGAGACACAGAATCTGAAAGCAAGCTCCAGGCTCTGAACTGACAGCAGAGAGCCCGATGCGGGGCTCCAACTTACGGACCAGGAGATCATGACCTGAGCCAAAATCGGACACTTAACCGACTAAGCCACCCAGGCACTCCTAGGAACACATATAATTTTAAACACGTTGAATTTGAAATGCCTGTGCAACTTCCGGGGGGAGTGGTCTACTGTCCATTAAAACTATTACTCCACTCATCAAAAGATACAAGTTAAAAAACAACAATGAGGGGCGCCTGGGTGGCGCAGTCGGTTAAGCGTCCGACTTCAGCCAGGTCACGATCTCGCGGTCCGGGAGTTCGAGCCCCGCGTCAGGCTCTGGGCTGATGGCTCAGAGCCTGGAGCCTGTTTCCGATTCTGTGTCTCCCTCTCTCTCTGCCCCTCCCCCGTTCATGCTCTGTCTCTCTCTGTCCCAAAAATAAAATTAAAAACGTTGAAAAAAAAAAAAATTAAAAAGAGGAAATCTAAGTGGCCAACATCATTAGCGATCAGGTAAATGGCAATTAAAACCGTGACAAAATATCAATGTGTACCCATCAGAATGGCACAAGTTAAAGCATCTCTCACCACCAAGTGTTGAAGAGGATATGGAACAAGCAAGAACTTTCATATGCTGCTGCTGGGAGTTTAAACTGGTACAAGCCCTTTGGAAAATAAAGTTGAAGATTTGCATGCTCTGTGACATAACTATTCCACACTTTGGAATAGTTTTGGTATACATGCTAGAGAAACATGTACATGTGGTCAGTATAGTGCACAAGATTGCTCATAATCACAGCACTGTTCAAAACAGTCCCAACTGGGAAACACCCAAATGACCACTAATATTAAGATGGAGAGATACATTATGATGTTTTCATAAAATGGAACATGTACAACAATAAAAATGATTACTCTTTCTAAAATAATGTTGAACAAAGAACAGACAAAAATTAAAATATTCAATAAGACTCTACTCAAAATTCAGAAACAGGGAAAATTAAACTGTACAGAAAGGCATATAAAGATGACACAATTATAAGGAAAAGCAAAGGAGCGATTACCAAAAAACTCAAAATAAGGGAGTAGGGTATGATTGGGTAGACTTCTGGGGTATAGGCAATATCCTCTATCTTGACCTGAACAGTGATTATATGGGTAATGTGTTTACCCATATTATGTTGTTGCTTTGTATTATGAACTTCTCTGTATGTTGTGTTAGTATTTTTTAAAATGGCTTTTAAAAAAGGTTTAAAAATTATTGGTTAGGGGAAACATGCTATGCCTGGAGTTACATTAGGATTTGTTGTCATACAAGATAGCTCCTGAAGCCATGTGAGACCTTTCATTTGAGCACAGCTCTCAAAAAGCCAAAAACTTGGATTTTCAGAAGAATATAAACATTCAGAACTGAATGTTTAGACTGGAAAACAATAAACAAGAAAGAAGAGAGGCAAAAGTGAGTGGCGCAGGAAAGCCAAGAGAGGAGAGAATGTAAAGAGGATGATTGGCTAACAATGACAAATGAAATAAACTCAAGCAGGATAAATACTGAAAAAGTGCCAATGAATTTAGCAATTAGGATGCCAGTGATTATTTAATCAAAAGCCATTTGATGCCAACATACTCCTGATGGTAAAAATTTCATGCATTTTCTTTTCTATTTTTCAAAACAGATGTTATATTTCATTTTAAACAAGACATGCCACATATCAGGCTCTTTGTTTTAATTACTATTTCAGAATAAATAAAAAGAGTGATATAAATCTTGCTGTTTGTGACTAAGATGTACAGAAATGTAGCAAAATTTTATAATTTTCTTGATGTTGGAAAACTATAGGCTTAAACTAGAATTGCCTGTGATACCATGATTTAAATTGCTGATTACAAATATATTATGCAGTCAGTTCATGTCTAAAGTTTTCCTGCATATGTGTTACTTTACAGGGAATATTACCAACAGAACACAAAAGCTATCTTTTTATAAACTTATACAAATCATAATGTGTTTTTAATTACTTTTGATGCAGATCAAAATATGAGGCTATAATATATATGTCTTAAAAAACTAAGCAAATTCTGAACTGAAATTTAAGACCAAAGGATATTTCAAGTAGGAAGAAATTCTAGATGCTGTAGCAAAAACTCTATTATAGCTTGGAACAGAATATAACACATTTTTAAAGAAATAAGATTTTAAACATAATACTTTTCCCATATTAGAAATTTACTACCTTATACTGTATAAGAAATAAGACATAGAGTGAAAAAAAAACATTTCTTTTTGAATTCTCATTTGAAAATTGCTTTGGCAATGTACGAATATGATAAACTTTCACTCAAAATTGGACTGAGAGCAGAGGCAACGAAAGAAGAAGTAGGAAATTAGTTAGCCATCCAAAGGAATGAAATTTTGACATTTGCAATGATGAGGATGGGGGCAGCTGGGTGGCTCAGTTTGTTAGGCGTCCAACTCTTGGTTTTGGCTCAGGTCATCATCTCACAGTTCAGTTCATGGGTTTGAGCCCCACATTGGGCTCTTTGCTGGCAGTGTAGGGCCTGCCTGGGATTCTCTCTCTCCTTCTCTCTCTGCCCCTCCCCCACATGCTCTTTCTCTCTTTCGGTCTCTCTCTCAAAATAAATAAACTCTAAAAAACAATGATGTGGATGGAGGTAGAGTGTATTATGGTAAGCAAAATAAGTCAGGCAGCGAAAGACAATACTACATGATTTCACTCATATGTGGAATTTAAGAAAACAGATGAACATATGGGAAAAGGAAAAAAAGAGAGAGAGCGAAATAAACCATAAGAGACTCTTAACTATATAGAACAAACAGGGTAGATAAATGGGTGATGGGTATTAAGGAGGGCATTTGTTGTGCTGAGCATACAGTGTTATATGTTAAGTGATGAATCACTAAATTCTACTCCTGAAAACACTATTACACTATGTTAACTAATCAGAATTTAAATAAAAATTTGAAAAGGGGGGGGAATAGGTAAATTTAACAAAAATAAAAACTTTCGTGCATCAAAAAACAACAAGAGAACAAAAAGGCAACCCAAAGGAAGGGAGAAAACATTTGCAAATTATAGTCTGATTAGGAACTGACACTGAGAATATATAAGCAACTTCTACAACTCAACAACAACCTGATTCTGTAAAGAAAATACACAAATGGCAAATAAGCAAATGAAAAGATGGTCAACATCACTAATCATTAGGGAAATGCAAATCAAAACCACAATGAGCTACCACTTCACACTGATCAGGATGGCTTATAAAAAAACAAACAAGCAACAACAAAACCCCCAGAAAATTGACAAGTGTTGGTGAGGATGTGGCAAAATAAGAACCTTGTGCATTGGCTAGTGAGAATGTAAAATGGTGCTATGGCAAATAGTACAGCAATTCCTTAAAAAGTTAAACACAAAATTATCACATGATCCATCAACCCCACTTCTGGGTAAATCCCGAAGAATTGAAAGCAGGGATTCAAACGGATGTGTACAACCATGTTCATAGCGGCATTAACACAATAGCCAAAAGGAGGAAGCAACCCAAGTGTTCACCAATTGATAGATAAACAAAATGTGGTATACACATACAACGGAATATCACTCAGTCTTAAAAAGGAAATACATGTTTTCACATACAACATGGATAAACCTTGATGACATTATGCTAAGTGAAATAAGCCAGTCACAAAAAGACAAATACTGTATCATCTTACTTATATGAGGTACCTAGAATAGTCTAATTCAGAGATGAAAAGCAGAATGGTGGTTTCTGGGGGTTTGGGGAAGAGGGGTATTAGGACATGTTCAATAGGTCAACTTCCAATTTTGCAAGATGAAAAGAGATCTGGAGACTGGTTGCAGATCAATGTCAATGTATTTAGTGTCACAGAACTGTATACTTTAAAAGAGTAAATTTTATGTTAAATGTATTTTACCACAACCAAAAAAATGGACTTGGAAATGAACAAGTGTTGAAAATAACAATCACTCGGGGCACCTGGGGGGCTCAAGAGGTTAAGCATCTGGCTTCAGCTCAGGTCAAGATCTCACCATCGTGAGTTCAAGCCCCACGTTGGGCTTTGTGCTGACACTTCAGAGCCTGGAGCCTACTTCAGATTCTATGCCTCCCTCTCTCTCACCCCCTCCTCCACTCGCATTCTGTCTCTCTCTCAAAAATAAACAAACATTAAAAAAACATTTTAAAAACAGAAACAAACACAAAAAAATAACAATCACAGTTATTAGGAGGAAGATGTAAATGGTGCAGGAAAGGGGCAGAGGGAAGGAGAAACTATTGCCTTATTTTTGTGTGTCCTTTATTATTTTCATATGGTACCTGGATTTCCAGCTCAGCAATGTGCTGCTGTAATTCAGCCACAGCAGCTATGCTATCTGCTTCCCGGAGTCTCACAGCCATCACTTCTTCCTTGTTCTAGGGAAGAAACAAAATAAACCAAAAATAAGCCATGTAATAAACCAAAAATAAAACATAAACACTTGTAATCTGCTTCAAATTTAAAAAATAACAAATAGATTAAATGAGAGAAAAAAATTGCCATTATCTCCTGAACTTGATATAAAATGAAGACCAAATATATAGAATAGCATTCCATCTTTAAGCATTGAGAAACACCACTCATGGGGTGCCTGGGTGGCTCAGTAGGTTAAGCGTCCAACTTTGGCTCAGCTCATGATCTCACAGTTCATGAGTTTGAGTCCCGCGTTGGGCTCTGTGCTAACAGCTCAGAGCCTGGAGCCTGCTTCCGATTCTGTGTCTCCCTCTCTCTATGCCCCTCCCTGGCTCGTGCGTGGTCTCTCTCTCAAAAATAAATAAAAATAAACACCACTCATATAAATAAATGTTGCATAAAATGTTAAAATAAAAATGAACTTAATTAATTAAAAATTCGTATCACTGTTGACTGTGAAAGCTGCTCATTTTTTATGTAAGAGCAAATATTGGGGAGCCTGGGTGGCTCACTCGGTTAAGCATCCGACTTCGGCTCAGGTCATGATTTCATGATTCATAGGTTGAAGCCCCACAGCAGACTCTGTGCTGACAGCTCAAAGCCTGGAGCCTGCTTGGGATTCTGTGTCTCCCACTCTCTCTGCCCCTTGCCCACTCATGCTGACTCTCTCTCTCTTGCTCTCTCTCTCTCAAAAATAAAGAAACATTGGGGCGCCTGGGTGGCTCAGTCGGTTAATCGTCCGACTTCGGCTCAGGTCATGATCTCGCGGTCTGTGGGTTCGAGCCCCACGTCGGGCTCTGTGCTGACAGCTCAGAGCCTGGAGCCTGTTTCAGATTCTGTGTCTCCCTCTCTCTCTGACCCTGCCCCGTTCATGCTCTGTCTCTGTCTCAAAAATAAATAAAAACGTTAAAAAAATTAAAAAAAAAATAAACATTTAAAAAATTAAAAAAAAAAAAGAATATTGACAACTTTCAAATACCTAATGAGGACAACAGATTAATAGGCAATGTGGATGCTGAGAGAGTATATTAGCTGGACAATATTTAAAAATTATATTCTTTCTGAGGCAATAAATGTCAATGAATTTTTACATTATGCTAAAGAGAATTAGATCATAATTCTAACCTTCCTAGGAAAAGTATAATATTTAACTCTACTACCTCAAAATTTCATGAAGAAAAACCCCAAAACTGTATTCTACAATATCTGTGCCAAATTATACTGATCCGGAAGTAACAAAATATGAAAAAAATACGTTAGAGAAATATAGAGTATACAAAAATATTTTGCTCCTCCATTTACTTCAGTTGCAATTTAGCAATCATTAGTATAAAAAATGTACAGGGTGGTAACCTTAGGAGAAATTTAGCACCAACCATGGGAGAGAGCCACCTAAAACACTTTATCCTTCAGGTTAGCCTTCAAATGACTGCAGTCTCATAAGAGACTCTAAACTCTAAACTCTAGAGAGCACCGGCTAAGCTGCTCCTGAATTTCTGATTCACAGAAACTCTAGGATATTAGTGCTTATTGCTATTTTAAGCCACTAAGTTTTAGAAGTAATTTTTTAAAAAGTAATACAGGGGTGCCTGGGTGGCTCAGTTAAGCATCCAACTTCTGATTTAAGCTCAGGTCATGACCTTATGGTTCATGAGATGGAGCCCGTCGTCAGTCGTCTGTGCTGACAAGCAGGAGCCTGCTTGGGATTCTCTCTCTCCCTCTCTCTCTCTGCCCTGCCCCAGCCCGTATGCACTTACTCACTCTCTCTCAAAATAAACATTAAAAAATAGTAATAGAGGGGCGCCTGGGTGGCTTAGTTGGTTAAGCGTCTGACTTTGGCTCAGGTCATGATCTCACAGTCCGTTGAGTTCGAGCCCCACGTCAGGCTCTGTGCTGACAGCTTGGAGCCTGGAGCCTGCTTCAGATTCTGTGTCTCCCCTTCTCTCTCTCTGACCCTCCCCCGTTCATGCTTTGTCTCTATCTCAAAAATAAATAAAAACATTAAAAAAAAAATTAAGAGGTTGCCTTCTAAAAAAAAAAAAAACAGTAATAGAGAACTACTACTTTACTAATATTAATTAACAATTTATAAAAATTATACTAATCAAAATTATTTTATGTAAATTACATATACATTTAGCTATGTAAATTTATTAATACTTTCAAATGTATATTATAAATTACATGAAATTATGTTAATCAAGTAAAAAACCCAAAATTTACCTTAATCTTCCCCCTCTCTAATCACCAAGTCTTATTGGTTCTCTATAAAAATAGATTGTGAATTTATCTATTTCTCTTTATTTAAATACTAACAGCTGGGCCCAAGCTAGCTACTCTGTCCTGTGCTATTTCCTGATGATCTCATATCACATCTCTCTCCAACCTCACCTTAAACCTACCTCCACACACAATGGCATGTATATTCCTTTAAAAAATAACTACATTAATTGCTACAAGCACTATCCCCTAATAAATGCTTAAATGCTAAAACTAGTTGCTGAAACTTTAAGTATATATGCATAGCCTTAAAATAGTTCCCCCCAATATTTATTAATTACTGTGGTGGTTTTAACATATACCCACAAATTCTTTAATACTTTTTCTTTTCTTTTTTTTTAAATTTTTTTAAACGTTTATTTATTTTTGAGACAGAGAGAGACAGAGCATGAACGGGGGAGGGTCAGAGAGAGAGAGAGGGAGACACAATCTGAAACAGGCTCCAGGCTCTGAGCTGTCAGCACAGAGCCCGACACGGGGCCCGAACTCACGAACCGCGAGATCATGACCTGAGCCAAAGTCGGACACTTAACCGACTGAGCCACCCAGGCGCCCCTAATACTTTTTCCTTGAGGAGGTATGGCTTAACACCCCTGCCTGCCATCAGACTGCAGGCTGGACTTAGTAACTTGCTTATAATGAACCGAGTATAAGAGAAAAAAAGTTCTGTAGTGGAGAAAGCTGGCAGACACCAACTTAAATGACCAAGGTTACCAGCATTAACCGTAAGATATATTTATACGAAGTGTCTTCTGATATGATGTGCTGAGAAGGACACTTCAACTCTGTATTCTTTCCTAAAATACATAACCTCAATCTAATCAGGAGAAAACAGACAATCCCAAACTGAGGGATATTCTACAAAATATCTGACCAGTATTCTTCAATAGTCAAGGTAAGGAAAGATAAGAAAGCATTAAGAAACTGTCACAGAATGGAAGAGACGGAGATATAATGAGGAAATTTGAATAAAGTCTATAGTTTAGTAATAACATTGTACCATCATTCATTTCTCAGTACTGATAAATGTACCATGTTAGATGTTAACATGTAAGATGTCAACATTAGAAGAAGCTGACTGAAAGGCATATGGTAACTCTACGTACTATTTTTGCTGCTTTTGTGTAAACATAAAAATATTTCAAAATTAACAGTGAAAAAAAGAAATCTGAAGCAAATACAGCAAAACAGAAAAAAAAAAAAAAGTCTGTTGATTTCCTGCTTAAAACCTTCAGTGGCCTCCCACAGCATGGACTCTAAAATTTTACATGGTAAGAAGTGGAATCCCAACCTGCTTCTCTAGCTTTATTTCATTAGCTTTTCAAGCTTTATAGAAGTCTCAGCAAACAGGTTCTTTCCTGCTTTTGGATCTTGAACTCTGTGAGCTTTTTCATGCGAGGATCTTCCCCTGGCTCTTCATATGGTTGCTTCTGTCCTATTCTTCACGTCCCACCTTTGATACCACTTCCTAGCACTCCATCTTTATTGCCAATTCTCCTTACCTCCCACTTTATAGTACATCATTCGTGATAATCCTATGTATTTTTTACTTTACTGTCTCACTAAACATTGTGTCCACCTTCTTCACTACTGAATCCCCAGTGCCTATAAGGCTGACAAATAAAAGCTGCCCAAATATTTGACAAATACATAATTAGATGCCATCCTTCTTTGAAGTCTCATAATCTCACCTCCTCCCAATCCTATTTGAGAATCACTGTTGTAAAATATACAAAACATGTCCTAAAATAGCATCTATTTAGAATGAAAAGTCTGGCTATATACTCTGTAAGTAACACAATAGAGAAACAGGTATTATCATGCCCTGCTGGTCAAAGTACAAAATGGCACAACTGTCAGGAGTGTTATCTGACAAAATCTATGAAAGTACAAATATATTTACCCACTGACCAAACAATCAAATTACAGGAACACATAGATATACCTCTCTAGGAATATGTAGATATAACTCTATATGTCTGAAATTATATATGTATAAGGTTATTCACTATACAGTGCCTGTGACAGCAAAACACTGGGAACAGTCCATGTGCACACCAATAAGGACCTAGTTAAGTATACTATAGCACATCCATGCAATGGAAAACAATATACCTTAGAAACTAATAAGACTCTTCAAGCACTGATATTGAAAGCTCTACAAAATATAGTGACAAAAAAAAAAAAAAAAAAAAAAAAAAAAAAAAAAAAAAAAAAGAGGAGCATACAGTATGTTAACTTTCATGTAAGAAAGTGCAAAGAAAAATTATATATTTTTACTTGCTAGTATTTGCCTAAAAGAAACTCTAAAAGGATATATCAGAAAATAATAAAAGCAGTTACCTAGCAAAAAGTAAAAGGGGTATGTGGTAGAATCAGAAACAGAATGAGGTAAAAGGGGACGGATTGCTTTGATTTATACTCAGTTAAACAATCAAAGCATTACGAGTATGTATTAAGCTAGCAAAATTTATATTATATATAAGCAATAGGTTTATTTTCTTCCTGTTTCCTTCCTATCATTATTCCATGTAGGCATAATGTTATAATCATAGTAAAATACTTTGATTTTCCTCACTTAAAATTTCTTATCATACAATTTTGCAAATTCATAATTAATACATCTTTTCTCATGGACATACATATATCTATGTCTATATATCTCTCTATATTTGTAGAACCAGAAAATTTAAAATATTTCTGTCATCTTCAAATTTATATTTATGTAGCAAATCCCATAATCTCATTACTAAAATCTTAGGCACAAGGTGTGTCTTGGAACTTCAGATTTTTTAGATTTTAGAAAAGTAATAAGGTACATACCTTAGTAGTATTAGTGGCACCTTAGTATTCTCTAGTGGCAACAACACCCATAATGAAACAGTATGCTCAGTGTTAAACACAATGAAACAGTAAAGTATAAAAATACACACCAAGTGGGATACAATAAAAATTATCCAAATGAATGTGTGTGAAATTTATGAGAAAACGTTTGGGTTTCAGAGTATTTTGAATTTTCATATTGGAGATCACAGACTTGTACTAGTTTCATTTTTAAGTGGGAATATTCAAACACAGTTATAGAGAGAAAATAACATTAATATTAAAAACAGTATCCTGATATTTTACATAAATGAAAAATAAAATGAACCTGAATAATTATTTACCAACAAATTATAAGCTATGATCATGTAGAACTAAATGAAAATTAATCAGGGGTGCTTGGGTGGCTCAGTCAGTTGAGCATCTGACTCTTGATTTTGGCTCAGGTCATGATCTCACAGTTTCGTAAATTTGAGCCCCTCTTAGGGATCTGCACTGACAGGGCGCAGCCCGTTTGAGATTCTCCCTCTCTCTCTGCTCCTCCCCCACTCACGTCCTGTCTCTCTGAAAATAAAAGCCTTAAAAAAATAAATGAAAATTAATCAGATTTACATAATTAAAGGACTAGCTTCCTTGAAAAAGTTAGGTCTGTTCCTGAACTATTCCAAGATAACAAGGTAAATATATACACTTAATTAGAATGTACTAGGTGCTAGGGTAACAACACACCGGTCATTCTCAAAATCTACAAAAGGTATTACAAAAGATTGAATAAATCAATATACAGTGTAAACACAGGGGGACATAGGGGAATCAGCATCTTTAAAATATTTTACATATTTATTAATGAACAGTTAAAGATTAAACAAAATATATATTGGTTCTTAAAATTCTCTAAAATTCTGAATCTGAGCCCATTGCTTAAATTAAAAAAATACATATATGTATATATATTTTCATCAGCAAATTCAACAAATATTTAATTCCAAAGGACACTTTACTTAGCTTAAGTTACTAAGGCATTTGAGGAGCAATAGTAAATCAAGTCATAGTGTTATCAACCAATGTTTAAGGAAAACTTACAACAGTAATGAAAAAAGATTAAGTTTAGTTCTTTATTAAAAATAAGTCAGCATAGACGATACGACATCATAAAAACTCAATCACACATTAGAAAGACGAATCAAATTGATACAACCTCATGTCACATCACTTTATTTTTAAATTAGTCTAGTTATAACTTTCCAGAGGTACTAATTTTAAGTTAGTACAAATTTCAGTACTGCCTACAGATTTCTGTCAGTGTAAATTGTAACAGCCATGCATATTTATTAGGATGTAATTTCATCTCTGGATTTCAGTGACACTGATAAACCATTCAAGCTTCACTCTTGGTTTTTAATGACACCAGAACAAGTTGATGGAATTACAGCTTTACATGTGCCATTGAAAGTCTTATTTCTTATCATAGAATAATAAGGCTGAAATCTCTAAAGGGCATCATTCCTGCTATCTCAGCATGGAAAGATGGATGACTAGTTTATTTTTAAAATCCTGTAACTTGTCTTCAGTAATCCATTCTAATGCTCAGATCACAGTCATCTCTTTAGTTATTTCTCTCTCTCTCAAACACACATACACTATCTCTTTCACTTTCTCTCTCCTTCTACCCCACTCCACATCCCCTCACCCTCTCACCACTGTTATACTGTAGATTAATTTCAAGAAAAAATTTACTTGCATTCAAATATTTTTTGATGCTTTATAAATCCAAACACTTTACACACACAAAATTTAAAAAAACAAATTAAAGTAATGGGAAATGCACACAATTTCCCCAACCCATTGGTATATACAAACTTCTTTTGCTTTCTACCCAGAAAACATTTATCAATACTGCATGTCTACTGATAAGGTACCAAAGCAGAGTTGCCCTAACCTCTCTAAATTACCTTTTTGGTTCCGATTTTTAAAACTTCGTTTTTAAAGGGTTACAAGTCAAAATAAAAATTGTACAGAGATATCAATTTTCAACCACCTGGCTAACTTAATTCCCTACACTAGCATTTAACCAAGTAGGTGAAAATGAAGTTTCCTGCCTGAAATCCACCTCAAGGCATGATGAGTTAACCTTGTCTGAAAGCAACCACCAAACCAAGTTCAGGAAAAGTTGGAAACAAAGCTAGCTCTTTTTGGTTTTATTTGGTTTTAAGATAATAATGAGACAAAACAAAAAGGCATTATTATTTTGACAAAAACATTAGGTAGTTGATATATTTACCTTGCATTCAATCTCTGCTTGTTTGCGCTTTGCTTCACTTAATTGAGTAAGTAGTCCTTTGTTCTGTGCAGAAAGATACTGCACCTTCTCATGTAGACTGATCACCTCTTGTTCCGCTCTTCGAAGATGGTTACTATTGATCTGATTCTAGTAATTAAAAATATAAATACTCAGACTATAAAGACCCGAAAAAACTTATATATTTCTACCTCTCCATTTTATACCTGAGTAACATTATATAAAATGTTATTATTAGTTACAGATAAAGTTTTTTAACAAATAGTTAAATACTAAAAAGAAAAAAGTATACAAGTGCATTAAAACTCAAGCCATCCAAAAGAATACTTAAGGTCCATATCAAAAACTCTTCCTACAGCTCAATATTTTCATTTATACAATAAATATCTATAAACTTTAAGAATGTTTACACAGAACTTGAAGGTATTAAATTGTGCAACAGGCAGTGTCACACAAATGAGTAGATACAGGAATATGATGAATTTGACTCCTATTTCCAGTTCTCAAAAGAAAGTACAGACTGACTGAAAAGTACCATCACCATTTACTGAACTGTAAAATCCCTGATGTCATAAAATGTATCATGTGCACTTTTACATTCCTCCCATGTACAGCACAGTCTTTTTATAGAGCATGGACTGGTTTTGAACTCTGACTTGTTATTCGGTCATTATCTAAACTAGTTATAATATTTGAGTCTCTATTTCCTCATCTGAAAAATGTATATAAAAATAAGACCAATTTTTCATTTAGTTGTCTTTAGTATTAAATGAGAGATTACATGCAGCAGGCCTTAATATATAGTAAGAACTCAATATATGCTAGCTGCTTAATTTATTGTAATTATAGAACATGCTAAGAAATTATATAGACCTTAAGTTGACTGACATGAGGTAGTCTTCCCATTCAAGCTTCATGCAGCCTGATTTCTCTCAACCCCAAAATATTCTATTAGGGGTCTGAAACAGTAGGGATTTTATAACCAAAGACAGGAAAATCTGGCTCCTCATTTTATAGTTTTTCACCCATAGTAAAGTTATCTAATCCCATCCAATTTCAGTACACTGTTATAAGCATAGATATTACCACTCAAATTTAAAGTCTGTGTTATATCTGTCTCTCAAAAATAAATAAAATCTTTAAAAAATTTAAAGTCTATGTTGTAGCAGTCATATGAAAAAAGTTTATGCAAGGAGTCTCACATGATGCCTGAAATTTAACAGATACTTAATAAATCCTTGGTTGTTACTATTATTATATCTATTCTGCCTCACTCTATGAAAATGACCCTGCCTGCAGTTTTTTTTTTTTTTTTGAGCTATTTTTTTTTAACATTTATTTATTATTGAGAGACAGAGAGACACAAAGCGTGAGTAGGGGAGGGGTAGAGAGAGGGGGAGACACAGAATCTGAAGTAGGCTCCAGGCTCTGAGCTGCCAGCACAGAGCCTGACATAGGGCTCGAACTCACAAACTGCGAGATCATGACCTGAGCCGAAGTCAGTCGCTTAACCAACTGAGCCACCCAGGTGCCCCAAACCTGCCTCGAGTTTTAATAAAAGATCCACATCATCTAATAGATTTAAACTCTAAAACATTCTACCACTTCTGGGTTTCTTCATCCTTACTTTTACTCATCTTCCTGACTCACTATATGTCTACAAAATAAACAGTGAACTTCTTAGTGCTCAAGTACTTAGTACTTACATACAAAATGTTCTTCCACAACCTCTTTTTACTATCTTTCCTCCTACGACTAAACAAATAACCACACTTGAGAGGGACACACCTTCAACATAAGCTGCAAAGAATTCCCACAAATAGAACTCCTCCTTGCACCACTCAATACAAGTCCATGACCCATCATCACAAACTATACACATTAAACAAAACGCCAAATTGATGATGAGTGAGAAACAGTAGAAAAAAGGATAGCAATGACAGATTTTTTTAAAACTCTAGATAACAAAATAATCATGTAAGGACTTTATATAAAATATTTTGTTTAAAATTTTTAGACATAGGGGCGCCTGGGTGGCTCAGTCGGTTAAGCGTTCGACTTCGGCTCAGGTCATAATCTTGTGGTTCGTGGGTTCGAGCCCCGCATCGGGCTCTGTGCTGACAGCTCAGAGCCTGGAGCCTGCTTCGGATTCTGTGTCTCCCTCTCTCTCTGCCCCTCCCCTGCTCATGCTCTGTCTCTCAAAAATAAACATCAAAAAAAATTTTTTTTAATTTTTTTAGACATAAAGAGGAAGCAAAAACATAAGCATAGAACAAGTAACTATCAAAAAACATTTAGCAAATTTGAAAAACTAAATACATTTTCTAGAAGTTAATATAGCCGAACATATTAAAAATTAATTAAAGGATTAAATAGGAGATTAGATACATTGAAGATAGTGTCCCAGAAGAGGTAAAGAGAGTAAGTTGGTACAAAATACACCTAATAGGGGTTGCAGGATAAAACAGAAAACAAAAAGATTAGATATAATGGTCTAAGAGACAACAATAGTTGAGAATTTTTTACAACTGGAAGAAATATATATATGAATCTACTATTCATGAAGCACAACTAATTCCAAACAGGATAAATACAAATAAACCCTCAAGAAGATACATTTTAACAAAACAGAATGCTAAAGAGAAGACGAGACAGGGGCATCTGGGGGGGCTCAGTTGCTTAAGTACTTGACTCTTGATTTCAGCTCAGGTCATGACCTTACAGTTCATGGGTTTGAGCCCCACAAGGGGCTCTGGGCTGGAAGTGCAAAGCCAGCTTGGGGTTTTCTCTCTCCCCCTGTCTCTCTCTCTGCCCCTCCCCTGCTAGCACGTTCTCTCTCTCTCAAAATAAATAACTACAAAAAAAAAAAAAGAAGAGACAAATCAGACATCAATAGGAAAACTCTGTAGTGCTTAAAAAAATAAATTTCAGCCTACAACAGTACATTTAGCTAAACTATAAGAGTGCGAAAAAGTACACCTATTTTAAGAAAGTGAGAGTTTACAATTCATGATTGAAATTGGAAAAAAACTGTTAAATAAAAGTGAGAGAGAGCAAAAACGCAAACAAGTAGACAAATCCAAATAAGCCCTGACTCCATAGAACAATAATGTCTAATAATTTAGAGATATAAAAAATGTACAATAATAAGATACAAGATTGGAAATGGAAGAAGAGCATATAGAGATCTTCTAAGGCCCTTACACACTTTTAAAGGAAGATGGAGATAATTATCAACATCAAACTCTGTTTAGTCTCAGATGGGACTTTTTTTTTCAGGTAATAAACACTAATAGAAAACAAATGGAATTATAAAAGTCAAACTAGCAGAAGAGAAAGAAACATCTAAATCCAATAAAAAGCAAGAAAGGAAAAAAACACAAAAAAGAAATGAAGTAAAAAATTTTCAAATATATCATAATAAACAGTTTTGATTTCTGATGAGGATATAGAGTAGAAGAGGATTGTTTCCACCCTTTCAATTAAAAAAAAAAAAAAAAAAAAAAAAAAAAAAAAAAAAAAAAAAGCTGGCCAAACTCAATTAATGACTTTTGTTGAAACTAGAGAGGTGAGCACACAGGGCAACAAACTAACCCCAAATCTAAGGACAGACAGGGCAGATGAAGCCAGAAACTGTTAAGAATAATTTAGCCAGAGGCCAAGTATTGGCTGGCTAGAGAGTGTGGAGCCTAACGGAGCAAAACAGTTCAAAAGCTTTTGTACACTTTTTCTTCATGGACCCCAACAGGTACACACAAAAAAAGATGGATGAAAGCCTTGAGAAAGAGATCTCCATAGTAAAGGCTTGAGGGAGGAGAGCAGCAGCCAATACAGAAGCACTAAACCTTGCTTATTTCCTCTACAGAATAAAAGGTTTCATCCATTACTATCAGAAACACTGGTGCCCTTAGAACACTGGGGAAACCACCATATCTGAGAAAGGGACAGGACTATATTTTGGGCCTAGGACTATAGCTGGTGGTAGGGCAGGAGCACTAAGAAAGTCAAACACTCCAGATCCAGGGGCACAATGCAGCCTAAGACTGAGGCTTTATCAAAACAATGGGGAACACTCTGGCCCTCCAACTTCCTGTAACAAGAGTGGAATACTGCTGGAGACAGACTCTCTCTGAAGTGCTGTACACATGGAAGACCTAAAAGACATTGAGAAAAGCCTCTGGCAAACCAGCCCCTAATCTAAAAATAAGATAGTGTTAGAGGAATTTGAAGCCTGTGGTGCAATGAGGGTAACCACAGAAACAACAAACCTCAAAACCAGCCCAACTCCTGACTATATTAACTCAAATCCCCCACATTAAAGGCCTACCAGAAGAAAAGGTATGCCCATTTTCAGGCATAAAAACTACTTACCTTAGTCTACTGTCCTACACTAGACACTCAGTTTTCAAGAAAAAATTACAAAGCATAGGAAAAAGAAAAAACAAAACACTACCAAGAGACAAAGCAATCAACAGAATTGGCCTCATATAGGACACAGATATTAAAATTACCTAACAGGGAATTTAAAATAACTGTAATTAACATGCTAAAGGCTCTAAGAGAAAGGTTAAAAACATTCAAGATCACATACTTAATATAAGCAGAGAAATGAAAACTGTAAGAATCAAACAGAAATGCTAGAAATGAAAAACACAGTAACAGATGTGAAGAATGCCTTCAATGGCTCATCAGACAACTCCCAAAGTGGAGCAAAGAATCAGTGAACTTAAAGATAAGTCAATAGAAATATTTAACACAATAGGAACTGAAACACAAAGAGAATAATGAGAAGAAAAAAGAAAAGAGCATCAAAGAGTTACTATCAATATCAATTAATCTAACGTATGTGTAATGGGAATCCCAGGAGGAGAAAAGAATATGGAATGGCAGAAGAAATATCTGAAGAAAGAATAACCAAGAATTTTCCAAATTTCATGGTAGAGAGAAATCCACAGGTCCAAGAAACTCAGAGGGAGACAAAACAAAACAAAAAATACAACAAGTCATTTCATATTCAGAGTGCTAAAAACAAAAGGGAAAATCGTAAAAGTAACCAGAGAATAAAACACATTACATGCAGATAAACAAAAATTATAACAGAATTCTGGCTTGCATGGTTACTGACAAGA